GCACTGGCAGTGTCCATTGAGAAAATGTATACAATGTAACGTTTTTAAAGTAGATGCATCTGACTGGTTGCATTTGAATTGAGGCGCGTAATGAATAATGATACTGTTCTGTGAGGATGTGCTGTTTTCTCTTTTTTCCCCCATCCCATCGAGACCACTATGTCCGAGACCAAGACAAGACCAAGACCAAATAGGGTCGAGACCAAGACAAGACCGAGACCAAATTGAGTCGAGACCAAGACAAGACCGAGACCACAAAAAATTGGTCTCAAGACCGGTCTCGAGACCAAGACCGGTCTCGAGAACTACAGCACTAAATCCAGCAAGCTCTGTAGTTATAATGTTGAAAAATGCACCAGTATACACAAGCGATAAAAAAACGTAGAAACTCGATCAGGTCTGAGCAGCGACAACGGGGCTTTTTGCAGAGATTTTGTTTTACCCTGATTCTAGTTACCATGTTGTGCATTAATACAAATCCTACTTGTAACTGAATTCCGTTTCTATGAAAGTATATTAAAAACTGGTGCATTCTCAGAGGGTGTCTTACTCACAAAACAGGCACCAGAGTTATGCGGATGAAATCACAACGGTATGGCCGCGATTCACTGGAGTCTGCAGGTGACCGCATATTTCATAACAAACAGCAATTGTTTCTTTTCAGCATTACATAACAAACGCCGCCTTTTTAGGGAGGCTTCCATATGAATAATTATGGCATATTCTTGCTATTTAAAGACTTCACAAAGGATTCAAATAACTTTTTAAAGTGAATCGGAGCATTACTAGTCATTAAATAAACCTATTTCAATAAAACCAGATATATTTTCAACAACAAGTAATCTTGCATCCCATTTTTTTTTTCTTTTGGGACGAACCCAAACAGGAAATCTTGACAAGATATGTGGCTTCTTTCTGATGCATGCCTGGACATCCTGAATGGATATGGGGGCTTAATGTCTAATCACTCTAATGTGAAGGGCCACTGTTTGCAGCTTCCTGTTTTCGCCTTAAAATTCCAGCGGGTCGCATTTTCCACCGCTATGCCGAGTGATAATACGGTATTTTGGGCAACGCCTGCCGGAGCACGTACCGCGTTTCCCTTGTACTGTACTGATTACGGTAGAAGCACCAGCGGTTGCATATTCAGCCGCACACGTGCAGGGACCAATCACGGCCGACAGGGGTCGCGAATGTAAACTGTAATTATACAGGTCGGGGATCCAGCATTTTGAATGATTTACAACGCGGGCTGACAATCGCAAAAACGTATCCAAGTATCAAAACGAAACCAGTCCAGGGCAACATCAAGTCCAGATCAGGTTCAGCAAACTGGGTTAGAAAACACATCAACAGCAAACGATTAAGAGCACGGCAAGTCGACAGTTGTGTCAGTACCTTACAAACGGCCTCATTTAGAGAAGGTCCAAGGGTTAATTAAAGAATGAGAAACTGGTATGTCTGTATGTCATCAGGTTAAGTGATCTGAGGGGCCATAGGGCCCGCTGACGTCAAAAGGGCGATCGGCTGTATTTTCGAAATCACTCCAATAAAACTTTGCTTGTAAGCTATTGTAACACTTTGTCTAATTACAAATACATTATTATTAATATTATTATTATTGTTGTTGTTGTTCAGCCTATTATTGTTAATGAAACTAATCTACACGTATCTGCATGCTGCAGTAGTCTGTGAATGGAACACAATCGCTTTATATGCTTTTATAGTGTATTAGCTGTAGTTCTGTGTAGCCTATATCCGTCCTTGCTAGACGAAAATGCTGTATCTTTCATTGTGCTACATAATCCACCAACTATCTTAAATAGAAATATCCAATGAAATTGCTGAACAATTGACTTTAGAAAGTACTGCTTATTAAAATGAAAGCGCAGCAGAAAATTTAGGCTATATGTGACATTTCATTCATGATGACACTGTAGTTTGCAAAATAGGCTACAGAGGCTGTATTACGTTCAGTTAGTGAAAGTGGGGGAGCCGTTTTCACACATATGGTTTGTGCTTATTCTGCCTGGATGACAAAGACTCCGCTTCTTTTTTTCTGTGATGAAGTTACTGGGTCTCTGCTGTTGCCCAGTATCGCCGGTCGGCTTTTCCAGCTCCTCCTTAATCACGACAGTCACGAGCATGAGAAATGTCACTATAACGTTGCTGTGGATAGACTCAACATGCTGGAATACAAATTAAAGTAGAAATGCAGTCCATTCGCCCAGGGGAAATAAAAGGCGCCTTACTGGCGTGTCCCCGCGTGTCTTTGCTCAGGTTGTCGAGGTGCATCAGGAAAGCGCCTGCTTGGAAGACCACCTTCGCCATTGCCGTTGCATGCTTTATTTACTTGTTTTTTGTTGTTTCCCGGCTGGGAGAAGTTGCGTCCCGGGACAAGCATAAGTACCGGAGGAAGACGGGAGCCAGCAGGTTAGAACCGGATCTGCGGGAGGCGGCAGACTTTTCGACGGCGCAGAATGCGGACTTATACGGCGCCACCCCGAAATCCAACGTGGTCTATATCACACTTAAAGCTAAGCGTGAGAAGCCGGCACTTCTCAGGGGCACAGTGCGGCCAGAATCAAGGAAGAAAATCACTGCGATTGACAACCACATCCAGCATGATGCGTTCAACGCTTTTGACAAAACCAATGAAGATGAATGGAAACCGAGAACTGCCCAGGACAATGAGATACATATGATACCAGGAATAAACATCCACTATACATTGAAGAACAATGGACATGAAGACAGTCCTAAGGGAGCGCATCATAGCTATATCAGGATATACAGCGAGAGAGCGCCGCCTTGGTTCAGTAAGGAAGACATGCATGCGCTGCGCTTCCTCGCCGACAGTAGAATAATCGGCATTAAGGAGGTTTCATCCGGTTTGCTGTTGTTTGAAGGCGCGACAGGTGGCACTTTAAGGTCCCCAGATAAGGTTGTGTGGATCCAAGGCGGTCCCGTCTGCCAAGGGCGCTGTGGGTTGCTCAAAAGAGCCGTGGATATGAGCGAGGTGTTCGCCTTTCATTTAGACCGGATCCTGGGTCTGAACCGGAGCATCCCGACTGTCTGCAGGAGGATCGGCTTCTCTAGAGGTATTTTAATCAAAGCGACAATGGCTGCGCTTAAAGTTACTGCGACTTCAGTAACTTTAACATATAAAGGAGCATCACAGACGTTACTCGTGACACAGATACACGGAGCCCAGGAACGTTAACCCGTGACTTAACCCGTACATAGAAATATGCACACAGTATCTGATAAACTCAAAAAGTCGAGGGTTTTGTACAAGAATATTTAAACAATAAATATTGTTGTACCTGGTAAACTATACAGAGAGTTAGACAGATCCGAGAGGATATTATTATTATCCCATTCAGGGTCATGGGGGTTCGGGACCCTATCCCAGAGGGTATGGGTGCAAGGTGGGGAACAAACCAGTTTGGGGCACCAACCCACCGCAGGGCACACTCACTCACCTGTGGGCAGTTTGGCAACTCCAATTAGCCTCAGCATGTTTTGGATTGGTGGGGGGGGGAGAGACCAGAGTACCTGGAAGAAACCCATAAATGACACGGGGAGAATATGTGACATGCAAACCCCACACACATGGAGCCATAGCAGAGACTCCAACTGAGGTGACAGTGCCCCCTATAATAATAATAATAAGAAGAATTATTATTATTATTATTATTATTATTATCATTATTATTATTATGACAATGATGATGTTTTATATGTTGTAGAAGATTATAATATAATGTCCATTGACCTGACGTCACCCCTGGTGGCAGTTTGCCCACTGAGCCCATGATGTGATTAAAGGTACGACTGGCCGACTGAAAGAGAGTTCCCAATTTAGAGAAGCCATCAAAGATTGAGCAGGATCACAGTGTGGCTCCCCCCCCCCCCCCCCCCCCCCCCCCATAATCATATCCCCCCCCCCCCCACAATGTTCAACCTGAAGTTACGCCCTCGATTAGAGGGGCAGACTTGGGGGGGGGAGCCACACTGTGATCCTGCTCGATCTTTGATGGCTTCTCTAAATTGGGAACTCTCTTTCAGTCGGCCAGTCGTACCTTTAATCGCATCATGTTGTTTGTCCATTATTTACGGAGCTGTGAATCTGATCTATGGTCAGACTGAAGCTGTGTCTCCTGTCTCCTGTGCATGTGTCACGTGCATAATCTGATCCTCTAGGTCAGGGCTCCAGATCCGGCCCATGAGATGGTTTTATACGGCCCTCCACATGTTTTCCATTTATTAATAAATCTGGCCTGCAGATTGATCCTGTGCTTTCCACTGAGAATAAAACACAATGAAATTCAGCAACCTCTCTGTGCTCAGATAGTCCCACCAGCATCATCAGAGGTGGTGCTGAGGCTGATTTAATGGGACTTTTAAAGCTCCACTATTTTTGCTCGGCGAAATGCAGCAGTAGTTGATTACTATGACTTTGTACATCTGACTGAGAGCTGCAGCACCTGAGGGTCTAACCCTAAAATTGCCCCCGGCTTAAGCTGCAGCCCTTCTCGCCAGTGAATGGCAGCTTATAGACCCTCTCGCCAGTGACCGGCAGCTTGTAGACCTTCTCGCCAGTGACCGGCAGCTTGTAGACCTTCTCGCCAGTTACCGGCAGCTTGTAGACCTTCTCGCCAGTGACCGGCAGCTTGCAAACCTTCTCGCCAGTGACCGGCAGCTTGCAGACCTTCTCGCCAGTGACCAGCAGCTTGTAGACCTTCTCGCCAGTGACCGGCAGCTTGCAGACCTTCTCGCCAGTGACCGGCAGCTTGAAGACCTTCTCGCCAGTGACCGGCAGCTTGTAGACCTTCTCGCCAGTGACCGGCAGCTTGTAGACCTTCTC